ACCTTTGGCCCTGATTGGTAGGTCGACCCTGCCAAATCAAGGGCACCCCTAGGTACCCTTGTGTCCCGTACCTCGCGACCCGTGCCTCCTGCACCCCTCGTGGCAATGTGGCCCTCGGAAGGGTCTTGGGTCCTCTCGCGTGTCCTGTCCAATCCTCCTTTTCCTCCTCCTCCTCCTCCTCCTCCTCCTCCTCCTCCTCCTCCTTACGGCCGACCGTAGACGATGCGCCCAGGCCTTGGCGTCCTCGCTGCGCTCGCGGGCCTGGGCGCTGCGCGAGCTGCGCCTGGCCGCTGGCGGCCTCACGGCTAGCGGTGTGCGCTCCCTCGCGGCGGCCCTGTGCCCTCGGCAGACCGTCCGGCGCCTCGGGAGCGTCGAGTCGAGGCGCGGGCCCCCGGCCTTCCGAGGCGGGAATTTCTACACTTTTTTTGTATACCAGCGTGCAGGAGCCCAGTGGCAAGGCGGGGACACAGAGAAGGGGAGGAGGGGCGGGACGCACCGCCGCCCTCGGGGCGGCCCCGGCGCGCGTCCACCCAATTAGTCAGGGGCGCCCGGCCGCTCTTGCAGACGAGCCCGCAGGGCCCCCGACCTCCCGAGGCGGGAATTTCTACGCGACCACCGCCTGGAGGGTTAGTTTTCGGAGCCTCGGCAGGCGGTGGATGTGGACACATGCGGGCCCCCGCGGGCCGAAGTATGTCCAGATCCACCGCCCGCTGGGGCACCAGGACGTCGGTTCCCAGGCGGTGGATGTGGATCAATCCCCGCCTCGCAGACCTCGTGGCCAGAGCAGCCCCAGACACGATCGCGTCGTAAACGAAAATTAACCCAGTGCGACCCTACCTAGGATTTGGAGCCCCTATGAAAGCAGCATTAGTAGTAACGGTAAACGTCGTCCTCCTCCTTCTCCTCATCGTCGCAGTTGCCTTTGCTTTTGCTTGCTTTTGCTTTTGCTTGGTTTTGCTTTTGCTTTGCCTTCGCACACACACACGCATGTTTTTGCATTCGCTTACCGGGTGGGCTCTCTGATCGTACTGTTGCACATTGCTGTTGCTTTGCCTTTGCTTTGCTGCTATGCTATGCTGTGCTATGCTATGCTATGCTATGCTATGCTATGCTATGCTGCGCTATGCTGCGCTCTGCTATGCTACGCTAGACTGCGCTATGCTATGCTAGGCTATGATATGCTATGCTATGCTATGCTGCGCTATGCTATGCTATGATGTGCTATGCTGCGCTATGCTATGCTATGCTATGCTATGCTATGCTATGCTATGCTGCGCTATGCTATGCTATGCTGGGCTATGCTATGATATGCTATGCTGCGATATCCTATGCTATGCTATGCTATGCTATGCTGTGCTCTGCTATGCTAAAACTCAGCGAAGCTAAGATGAAGGTAAGCTAAGCTAAGATAAACCTGAGCTAAGATGAAGCTCAGCTAAACTAAGATGAAATAAGCTAAGCTAAGATGAGATAAGCAACGCTAAGCTAAGGGACCGTAACTGGGGGAACCGCGGGTCGGATACTGGGGGAACCGCCCAGGGCGCTTTCCACTGCCCAGCCCCTTTAAGCCCAGAGAGTAAGAACCCTTCTAGGCAGAGCCTAGGTAGGGAATCAGGACTTGAGGTTTGGGGCCGTTTTCTTCGGCCCCTGCGCCACTTACCAAACCACCCCAGCCCAACCCGAACGCGTCGATTTGCCCTCCATTTCTCAGTGGGGGGGAGGTCGGGGAACATTGAAAAAACACATGGAACCCGTACCCCCGCAACCCGAAACTCGGGTCTTCGGGTTGGGTTGGGGTGGTCTGCTAGGCAGTCACCCCTGGGGGCCCTCGCCGGCCCCCGGGGCCGTCCAAGAAACGACTCGGGAAGAAGAGCTGGCCTGGGGGAAGGGGTCGGGACTTCCGGCCGCACGGAAAGAGTCAGGACGTCGCATGTTTGGGACGGCACCACGGGTCGAAGCTGCGCCTGCTCGCGTTCTCTCGGTCGTCCCCCTTGGTCTTTTTTTGTTTTGTTTTGTTTTGCTCTCCTCGCCTCGCCTGTCGTCCTGCCCCGTCGCGTGTCCCTCTCTCAGTTCGTGCGTTCTCTCCTCTCTCCTTTTTTCAGTGCTTGGCCAACTCAGCAGCCATGTCAGAGTTCATTCTCTGTAATTGAAAATCGGGCGCGTTCCCCTACAGGAGGAATATTCAAAAATAGGAAAAACATAGTCAGGGGACGTTTTGACATGTCTCGAATATTTTCGGACTATTTTTAATTTTTCTTCCAAAGTCCGCCTGTAGGGGGGCATGCCCGACCGAAGTGTAATTCGTGTAATTCTTTGGCTCCGCGTCCGATATCGGACCAGGCTTCGTGCTTGTACCGGGCCTTGCCTGGGGCACCCGACCGCTCTACCACTTCCCCGGGACAGGTTTTTCATCCCGCCCCGCTTCTTGACGGTCCTGAGGCCCGGCAATGGCCCCGAGAGTTCGAAAACGAGGACGAACCTCCGTCCCCTGAGATCTGACGTTGCAAAATACATGCAGCATCGCGAGAAATTGCGACCAGAGCCTCAAGCCACGTCTTTCTGCGTCATTCTTCGAGCTGGATCGATCTGTGAGGGTCCCGGGGCCCGGAGCCGGGCGAGAACGCCCGTTGCAAAATTTTGCATCGCCCGTATCTCGGGGGTCGGCTACACGTAAGAGTGACCTTCTGCGGGAGTGGTCTTTGGTGCGGGCACCCTTGGGTTCCCCGGATCCCTGAGATCGATGCGATGGCAGCGGCTTGCGCGCTTGGGTTGGACCCCCGCGCGCCCGCCGAAAGCCGCGCACCAGAGGTCACTCTTTCCCACTGCCCTCGTCAAACTTCACTTCAAGAACTGCGGTCATGCCCCTTCGAGGTCGTCGCGCCCTTCAATATCGATACGACGCCCCTCCAATGTCGGGGCCAGGGCAAAGGTGGTCTGACCGGGAGCGAGTTGGAAGTCTGGTGATGACCGACATTGGAGGGGCAGCGCATACAAATACCTCGCACTCACCGCTACTCAAGCAAATCTCTTCCCGTGCACTGTTCAGCCACGCAAGACATTTTTCAGGAGGGAAAGAAACACACAGACACAATTAATCGTCGACTCCCGGGAAAATTTGGGAAAATATGAGAGGTGTGGGGAAGACAAAGCCCAGCAGATATGGGAAAATATGGGGAACCCTGTTATTTGTGTGTGTTTGTTTATTTGTGTGTCCCAGGGCCCCTTCCATTTTGGAGGTCACTTCTGACGAGTGCTGTGGGGCCACTCTGGCGTGTGGTCGAAGGCATGTGCCAGGGATGCTTTCATGAGGTCCGCCAGAGGCCTCCGGATGGGGCCTCCGGGAGGGGCCGTGGGGCCAGGGGCGCACGCGAAGGCGGTGCAAGACGGCCCCGGGAGGGCGCCACCGCACGCCCCCGGAGTCGACCCGGGCGCAAGAGCGACCTTTCGTGAAGTCGGGCCTGTCCTTCCACAGGAGGAGTGTTCAAAAGTGGTTCGAACATAGTCGGGAGGCCATTTTTGACTATTTTGGATGATTTTGGGAGCACTGTTGGACTATTTTGTATTTCTCGTCCAAAACCCCCCTGTAGGGGGACAGGCCCGACCTAAACCTTTCGCCAGAGTGACCTTTGGTGCGGGCCCTCGGGGCTCAAGGGACGGGGGAGCAAAGCAAACAGGGGTCAGCCAGGGCGCCAGATCTTGCAGGATCCTGCGGGGCCAGGGCTGCGCTGACCCGGGTTTGGGTTCAGGGTCCTGCAGTGTCCTGGAGGATTTTGCCGCCGGATCCTGCAGAGCCGGATTGACGCGGGTCTGGATTGACCCGGGTCCGTAGAACCCCGAGGCCCAATGGGATGCCCCAATCGCTGAGCGCGAGGCGGTAGCGGCGGCTTGCGCGCCTAGTTTTGGCCCCCTCGCTCCCCCCCCCTCTCCTCTTTAAAGCGGGGCACCCAAGGTCACTCTTGCCTAGGGGTCACTCTTACGTGCATTCGAAAGAGGACCTCCGCAGCCCCCCAAGACGCTCGAGGAGGCCTCCGAGACAGCCCAAGAAGGTCCCGATTCTTTTGGCACTCGGAGGACAAAGTATTACATAAACAGAAACTTTCGACGGTCCGCACGGATTCCTTGGATCTGCATTGGGCCCCCCCCTCCCCGGCGCGCTCCCCGCGCCAGGGAGGGGGGCCCAGCGCGGATCCAAGGAATCCGCGCAGACCGTCGGAAGTTTGTGTCTCTGCCGTTTTTTCTTCCTCTAGAGACGCCTGCGTCCCGATTTTGTCAATCAGGGGCCCCCCGAAGTCAGGAGGGGAAAAAACACACAGACACAATGAATCGTCGACTCCCAGGAAGATATGGGAGAATATGGGAAATGGGCCATTGTGTATATTTATCTGTGTGTCCCAGGGCCCCTTTTGCGAAGCCTCGACCCATTCCCGGGGACGGGCTCTTCATCCCGAGTCGCTTCTCGTAGGCCCGGGGGCCCGGCCAGGGCCTCCTGAGGTCGAGAACTGCGACACGCCCCCGCCCTGGTTCGTGCAATGCGTTGGGCCTCTCGGGAGGGTCTCGACTCTCTCGATCGACTAGACGTAAGAGTGACCTTTCGCTGGAGTGACCTTTGGTGCGGGCACAGATGGGTCCCCAGATGCTGAAAACGAGGCAGCAGCAGCAGCAGCTGCTTGCGCGCCCAGGTTTGGCCCCCCCGCGGCCCCCCCAAAAGTCGCGCACCAGAGGTCACTCTTACCCAGGGTCACTCTTGCGTATAGCCGACTCGAGACGCTGGATGTCTGCCCCCGTCGGAGCGCGGCGGCGCAGCGCTCGGGGCGGCCGGCGGCGGCGCCGCCGCCCGCCGCGGCCCGCGCCCGCGAAGCCCCGCGGGGCGGTGCTCTCGGAGAGCCTCCGCCGCGGGGGCCCTTGTCGAAGGGTGCGGCGGCCACGCTCCTCGAGTGAGGGATGGGCTGCAGAATTGATTTGCCCTAGTCTTGTTGCTGTTGTTGTTGTTGTTGTTGTTGTTGTTGTTGTTGTGATTGTTGTTGTTGTTGTTGTTGTTGAACCTTAATGACTAAACAGTTATTATTGAACCAGATAACTTATTGTTGAACCAGACCGGCGCTCCGGCTCGATACTTCCTCCCCTTTTACTCAGCATCGGCTCTCTCTCTCTCTCTCTCTCTCTCTCTCTCTCTCTCTTCGGCTTCCGCAAGCGCCCCCCCCCCTACAACAACGGCGCTCCCGCTCGAGACTTTCTCACTGTTTACTCTAGACTGGGGCCCTTGTTTCGGCATCGCCTCCGGGGGGCTTCCAGAGTCCCTGTGGAAACCCTACTTCTTCCCTTTTTACGGCTCCCCTCTTCGGCTTCCGCAAACGCCCCCCCTACAACAATCCCGTTCGATACTTCCTTGCCTTTTGCGCAAGACTGGGGCCCTCGTTTCGGCATCGCCTCCGGGGGGCTTCCAGATGCCTTGTGAAACCCGGCGCTCCGGCTCGATATTTCCTTCCTTTTTACTCAGGATCGACGCTCTCGCTTCGGTTTCCGCAAACGGCCTTCCACAACAATGGCGCTCCCGCTCGATACTTCCTCGTCCTTTACTCAAGACTGGGGCCCTCGTTCCCCCTTGGTCCTCCCCCCCCTCCCCCTCCCCCCCCCTCCTTCCCAATATTCGCTCCTCCCCCTCCGTCGTCCTCCTCATCCTCCTCTTCCTTCTTCTCTTTCTCCTCCGCGAAGCAGGGCGCGGGCGAAGGTATTTCGAACGCGATTGTCTTTCCAAGCGGAGTAGTTTGAGGTTCCTCGGAAGAGGTGTTCGCGAGACCTCCTTGGGCGGGAGTTCTGGGTATGGGTATATCGGACCCCCCTGCGCCAGGGAAAAAATCCCCCAAATGGGGATTGCTATCATGATGGAGGCATGTGGCATGTGGAAGCATGGCGCATGAGGGTAAAGTGATTGTTGTTGTTGTTGTGGTTGTGGGAATTGCTGTTGCTGCTGTTGCGCTCTTGCTGCTGTTGCTGTTGTTGCTGTTGTGGTTGTGGTTGTGGTTGTGGTTGTGGTTGTGGTTGGTGTTGTTGTTGTTGTTGTTGTTATTGCTGTTGTGGTTGTTGTTGTTGCTGTTGTTGTGGTTGTTGTTGTGGTTGTTGTTGTTGTCGCGGTTGTTGTTGTTTTTGTTGTTGTTGTGTTGTTGTTGTGTTGTTGTTGTTGTTGCTGCTGTTGCTGCTGTTGTTGTTGTTGTTGTTGTTGTTGTTGTTGTTGTTGTTGTTGTTGTTGTTGTTGTTGTTGTTGTTGAATGTTAATTCCTAAACAGTTATTATTGTTGGACCCCTTATAGGCGCCCTGGTGCTCTCGCCGAGGCGCCGGCGACATTGTCATTGAAAATGAAGCTCACGCTCGAGCAGTTTGGGGGATCGCCCAAATCGGCCCTCCAACAACAACAACAACAACAACAACAACAACAGCAACAACAACAACAACAACAACAACAACAACAACGCTCCCGCTAGAGACCTCCTCCTTTTTTGCTCAGGGCTGGTGTTCTTGCTCGCCGCCGAAAGCCTCCGTCCTAGCAGAACCAGCGTTCCCGCTCGAGACTTCTTCCCGTTTTACCTTGGACTGGCGCGCTAGTCTTTCTCTCATCGGCGCCGCCGCCAGCAAAAACAACGTTCCTGCTCGAGGCTTCCTCCCTTTTTTACTCAAGGCTGTGCTCCTCCTCGCCGCCGAAAGCCGCCGCCCCGACAAAACCAGCGCTCCCGCCCGAGACTTCTTTCGGTTTTACGCTGGACAGGCGCCCAACTCTCTTTTGAATTGGCGCCGCTCCCAGCAAGAACAACGCTCCCGCTCGAGGCTTCCTCCCTTTTTCCTGAAGACGGTGCTGTTCTTCGCCGCCGACGACCCCCGTCCCGACAAAACCAGGGCTCCCGCTCGATGCTTCCCCCCCGTCTTACTCAAGGCGGTGTTCCTCCTCGCCGCCGAGAACCGCCGCCCCGACAAAACCAGCGCTCCCGCCCGAGATTTCCTTCGGTTTTACGCTGGACAGGCGCCCAACTCTCTTTTGAATTGGCGCCGCTCCCAGCAAGAACAACGCTCCCGCTCGAGATGTCCTTTTTTGTTCCTCGGGGCGCTGCTGTTCCTCGCCGCTGGCAGCCCCCGTCCCGACAAAACCACGGCTCCCGCTCGATGTTTCCCCCTTTCTTACTCAAGGCGGTGTTCCTCCTCGCCGCCGAAAGCCGCCGTCCCAACAAAACCAGCGTTCCCGCTCGAGACTTCGTTTTGTTTCACGCTTGACTGTTCAGCATTGGCGCCGTTCCCAACAACAGCAGCCCTGCTCGAGATCTCCTCCGTTTCTATTTACGGCCAGGTCCTTGCCTCACCGCCGACAGCCCCCATCCCCACCAAGGCAATCCTGTCGTTCGATACTTCCTTGTGTTTTACCCTTCGCTGGGGTTCCACTGGGGGTCTCGCATCGGCGCAGCAAGGCGCTGGCAGGTGTTTTCGAGGCGGGATATGTTGAAATTCCTCGGAGG